CCAACTTTCTGTTTCCTCTTATCAGCAGGAGTCACATATGGCTTTCCTCTAAATTGGTATTTTTCCCTTCTTATCATTCAAAGCCTTATAGTGAGCAGCACTATCTCTACTATCATCATCATAGATCCTACTCTTATTAACCAACTCATAAAATCATGTAATCTGCTGATAACCTATAGCCTTCTTGATCTCAGGTCTCAAACCATTCACAAACTTAAGACACTTAGATCTCTCAATATTAGCAGTGTTGTAATAAGGAAAAGACTTAATCAACTCCTTGAACCTTGCAGCATACTCAACCACAATTCCATTACCCTGCTTCAGCTCGAGAAACTCAACTTCTTTCTTCCCACGCACATCCTCTGGAAAATACTTCTCCAGAAATGCATCTTTGAAAAGTGCCCAAGTAACCTCAATCTCATCTTCTTCAAATCTTTGAACAGTGTTACCCCATCAATCATCATCTTCCTTCTCAAGCATATGGGTGTCAAACTGCACCTTCTGTGCATTCGAACAATTCATGACTCGAAAGATCTTCTCAATCGCTTTCAACCATGCTTGTGCTTTGTCAAGTTCATGAGCTCCTTCAAAAATTGGCGGATTGTTCCTCTGAAACTTCCCCAAATCATGGAATTCATCATCATCTTTGTTGCCAGCATTGGCGTGCGGCTGTTTCCTAATCGCACCGGCCAATATTGTCAACGCCTCAGCAACATCGTTGTCATTCCTTCCTGCAACCATCGTCCTGAGATTTTCAATCAACCAACAATTCTCATTAGACAAACACTATCGATTGTGTCATATACACATGCCGAATACAAAAATAAAATAAACACATAAATAACCTGGACAATTGGCCAACCATGCTTGATACTACTAATGTAACACCCCCTAAACCTCCACACAATCATTTGGCATAATCAAAGTAAATTAGCATGCATATCAAAAGAGGATGCCACGTGTATTTCAAAACCAACACAAAGTACATTGGTCATGCTCATAACACACATTTTAAATCATATTCTATATACTAACACATATGCATATCGCAGCAGAATAATTCTCTTTTCAAAATGATACCAATAATTGAATCTCATAATATAAATAATGTAATAAAACATTAGCCACTAAAGGCCGCCATCACATAATATCAATACACAATAACATAAAAGAGAATATAATAAAACATCTCTAAAAAAACATACATGAGTTCAAATGTTTTTCCGTGTTACATGACCAGAGCATATGACTCATTATCTAAATACAGATAACAAAGAACTAGCTTCTCCGACTAATCCTTACAAGAAGCACTATTATCTTTGGTACCTAAACAATGTCGTATAAAACACCATTCCAATAGAAGGGTGGGAATTCATATCATTATAGAAATATATAATAATAAGTAATGCATAACTTACATACATCAATTGAATTCATCACATTTCACATAATCACGTATTCAACATATTCCAATTCAATTCACATGTTTACTTATACAACATAGCTCAATAATTCATGATTCGATAGATAATTAATCACAAATACCACAAATGTAACTTTCACATCAATATCACATATTTCACATTAACTCAACATTTTAAATCGACACGTGTGACTCGAATGCGACTTAATGTAATATGCATGTAGTACAAATTTTATCCTTAACGGTTACATTTAAACTGTGTCCACCTCTCAGGCAGATAACCACCAAAAGTTCGTCATCTAAGCTTCAAATCAGTCCTCTAGGTTTGGGATAAGTCGCTAGCCTCCACAAAACTAGCAAACATTGTCGCTTGACAATAAATGATGCATGTGAAATCTCAAGAATCATATGCAATTAAGATCATCTCTCAATCTTAATTATACAAGCATGTGTCACATAATCCATCACATTTGAATTATCCCATCATTGCACAAGCATACATATTTCATGTCATCATTCACATACAATGCATTCTCATAGCATTAATCAACTCAACACACCACAATAACACATAGCAAACAATGTCAAAACATGTTATTCTCATTCATCATCAATTCACAACATACATATACACAAAATTCAAGTGTTATGTTTTCATCAAAAAGTCATCCAAAACCTATCCAATACACATTTAATAAATTATTAAAATTCATGGAAATCCTCTATAAATCGTAAGCATACAAGACCCCCCCTTCAATTAAACAAAACTATAAAATTTTGCATTGCAGGTCGCGATAAGCGTGCTCTTTGACGCTAAGCGCCCTCAAGTCAGTAGATTTCGCGCTAAGCACGTAAATCCACGCTAAGCACGCTCTACGAGTTCTATAAAATGAACTCTGCGAAGACAGCATCACACCAGTCCGAGTTTTAACCCCAAAAACCTATTTTCCACCCAAATTTCTATGATTTATGGCATTAAGACACATACCTAACATGTTGTTTCTATTTATAACATCCAAGCATGATTTGAACATCAATTTCATGGATTCCATTCAAAACTCTAACATGTTAAAATCTAGAAATTGAAGAACAAAATCCTTAAATCATGTAACTACTCATTACATACGGTGTTCGCGGTGCGGTTTGGACGGTTTTGAAAAAAAAATCACCCGAACCGCAAGAGAAAAAAACATGCGGTTCGGTTTGGTTCAGTTGGAATTTAAAAATAAATCTGAACCAAACCAAACCAAACTAATGCAGTTTGGATTGGTTCGGTTGGTTCGGTTTTTTATATAAAAAATTATTAAGTCATACATACAAATATAGAGGAAAATATAATTTTGTGTTTAATTGTTCATACATTACCATAAAAAAATTTATAATTGTCAAAATTAGTTTATAATTTGATACATAAAATTGCGTATTATAATTTTATCTAAATCTATAGAATGATATAAACAATATTGCATTCTTAAATAAATATTATACAAAGAATACGATAAAATATATTTTGTGAAAATAATATTTATAAATGAATAATGTTTTATTTTTTTATGATTTGTAAATTAAAATGAATATAATACAAAGTATGATAAAATATACACATAATACATGTTGATTTCTCTAAAGAATTAAAAAATATATATTGGTTAGTAAGATTTTATAACATAATGCGGTTTTGTTTGATTTGGTTCGGTTTGTAAAATACAAACCGCAAACCGAACCGAACCGTGCGGTTCCGTGAGAAAATGACCCAAACACATCCGAACCAAATGCGATTTTTTGCGGTTTCAGTTTAGTTCGGTTTGATTTTGCGGTTTTCTATTGGGCCGGTTTGGTTTTGAACACCCCTACATACATCACATATTCTCATAATCAAATGAAGACTCACCCTTACCTTGAATGTAGATCCTCTAGGATTCTCTCTTCTTCTCTTCTCCAAGTGTTCAAATATCCATGTCCCATCACCGAGTCAGAACAAATATTTTTAAATTGAAATAGTTCATTTCCCTAAGTCATAATATATCCAGAACTCCAACAAATATTAGAAATAATAATTTAAAATAATACTAGAAATTTTAAAACATATATCCCATATATTTAAAATAATAAAGTACAAACTAAATATTAGTGTATTAACTAAATAATTAATATTCTATATTATCAAAATTAAAAATTTTAAATTATCAACGAAACGAAATCGAGGACGGGTTCTGAGTGGGTACTAATGTCCCAATTACTCATCCTATACTTATATTTTGAAATTGAAAAAAATCGAGAACGGATTCTGAGTGGGTACTAATGTCCCAATTACTCATCCTATACTTATATTTTGAAATTGAGAAAAACCCAATTCCAAACCAAAACTCAATAAAAGTGGATTTCTCTGGTCAAATTCAAGGTGGGTTTGCGCGGATACCCACGAATACAGATTTTATTGCCATGTCCAACAAGACATCTTGAAACCATTCCAATCTTCGAGTTGACAGGTATGGTGTGTTGAAGCGTATCCGGAGTTCATTCTTCATAGCTTACTAATCCGAATTATAAAATCTAGATTTTTTAACACATTGATGTTTTTATATTTAATGCATCCAAATTTTAAATTTTAAGGGTTTTATAATTTTGTCTGGATGTGAACAAGACCTGAGGTATAATGAACATTCTCTAAAAATAAATAAGTGGAGTATGACAAATTTAAATTCAATAACACAATTAACAACTAAACTAACTTAACTGAATAATTTTTTTTAACAATTTTAATTGCATTTTAAAATATAATCTAATGCGGTAAAAAATGAGTTTTAATTGGTTGTTTGTTTAATTGAGTTTTATGCTAAGAAATCTTGTAAAATATTTAAAAGAATATATTAAGATGACATGCAGTTGGAAATGTGAAATCACCTTCATTTTTGTAATTTTATTGAACTGTGATCACATCTAAATGTTTGAGTTCTACTAATGCATGCAGATGAAATTTTGACTAGTTTGAGGACATGACGAGATAGATTTAGCTTTATGAACTTCCAAAGCAGGTCGCTTCTGTGATTCCCACTCTCCCTTCACGGTTGTTGGAACATAATAAAGTTGAATGGTGCCTTTAAATTGTATCTTGACAAAGCCTCCTAGCTAGTTAAAAAGTAGTCATTCTCCAAATAAACAACTTGTGGTCTCACACAAATTTCAGACCCGTCCATTTTCCAAGCCACTTAACTTTTCTAATGCCTTCCTGATTAGGGAGGATATAGGAGTATTGAATATCATACTAAGTATAAAATCAATTATTGTTGTGTAACAATAATATTAAGTCACAATAGCTTCTATTTAAGTATTTAAATCTGTTACTATATCCGAACAAAATGGTTGCTAAGATGCTATACTCTCAAAATACAAAACATACATATTTACAAACTCTGCTAGTACAGTTTTTTTACAATACAATTGTAGAATTACAACAAGATTTTGTTTGGGGTGTTAACAATAATTTGCTTAACATAAAGCAGTAACTTCTTTATGTAAAATGGTTGCTTAACATAAATTGCTTACACATTTCTGCAGACGTATTATCAACCACGTTTTATGATGGAGTGCGGCTGATCTGAAGCCAATTAGGTCCCTTGTTGCTGGAGACAAGTTTTGAAGGATCCTCAGAGACCTTAGCAAGGGAGCGATACTGCAATTTTACACTCTCTGCATTGTCCAATGTCTTCACCACATACCTGTACATAAATAAGTACAGAAACTTATTTATCAACATCTACTATTTTTTCTAGGTACATCTAAGTGTCTAACCAGCTATAACAGTATAACAATAATTTCAAATTCTGCAACTCAGCTTCCAAAAGCACTGTAGCTATACGAGCCAACATTTTGTAAATATTTTTGGGTTCGAAGACGAAGTGGCAATAACCACTAAAAACCCACACACAACTTTGAGGTCCCAGGTTCAAACTCAGTTGATGGTGTACAACTTACAATATTGGTATTTGTTACTTGAGCTAGGATTTCTAGACATTTTGTAATATTTTTATTTCAGAGATATGTTGGATACAAAATCCTCAAAAGATAACTTAACAATCTCGGTATTTTTATTTCAGAGATATCTTGTAATAAAAATGAACATGGAAATTCAATATTTGATATTAACTACGAGAGAAAAAGTTGTTGAGTCGCTGACCATCCATTCAGGCATTGTGTTGTTACAATAGCTTCCCTTCCAACAAAGCGCAGTGGTGTCCTTTTGTTCCCCTGATCAATTTTCTCTCAAATTACTTCATGGGTAAATTTTAAAAATAATTTAAATAACTTTCAGAAGTAGTAGTCTCGACCCTCGAGGCTTTTTACATACTACCTTTATGATAACTCTGTCCCTCACAGCAAATGGAAATTGAACTCCTCTGCTCCTAGGTGGTTCAAAAACAGCACTCTCTCCTAAACCACCCTGTCATGAATATATAAATATATATCGTTATAAAATGAAAGATGCCAAGGTAAGTAACTAAAGCAAAACTAGGTGGTTCTTGATTTTCCTTTCATATGTAGTTTCTCTATGAAGGTTTAAACATGTTTATGTTTGGGCAATGGAAATACACACCTGATCAAATCTTTCTCTTCTTCTTTTGGATGACCGGTAAAATTGTGATTCCTCTTCCCGACGGTACGCCTGCACAGCAGCTTGGAGTGCTGTAAAGGAAGGCAGCATGACAGGAAGAAATGCGAGAGAGAAAAAATCAGAAAATTCCAACAAAATATGACTACGTATTATACTACATCATTAAATTATCTAAGAGTATCCAATATATGTTTATGAGACCATATCTTAAGAAAAATTAATCGGGTGTATATGTTATTGACTTACAAAGATTTGGAGATATTGATTCCTCCAGTGTGGGTTGAGAGCAAGTACAACAAGCTTTCTGAAAAACAAATGAAAAAAATGCATCACTGCTGTATATTAGCTAGTTAACTGCGTGTGACTACTAAATGTAAATTTATAAAAGCGGTATGTATATCTCTGAAATTTTCTACAGCATACTGCAGGCAAATCCACGACCCAAACATATACAGATGTGAATGAAATGACCAAATTAACATTCATTCAAATTTCTAGTCCATGAACAATATAGATGGATACGGAGCTTTTCCCAAGGAAATTTTAAATTATCTACTAATCCTCAAAAATCATATGTTGAATTTGATTCTTACAACAAGAAAAGCATGAAATAAAGCTACATACAAATCAATTAAAACTAGAGGGATTATCGCTTCACAAGAAGCCTAATATTCACGTCAGCCTATTATTGCCCAACCAAAAAAACTGGCCAGTTAGACCATTTCATTAATACTTGATACAACCTAAGAACAGATATGTCAAGGCAGCACCAGCAAATCGCAACACCATATATACCAAAACTCAACAATGCTGCTGCTCTTTTATAATTTTGGTACTTATTCTTACTGTGTAGCATTCTTCTTCTACTACTACTGTTTGTGATTCTACCCTCCTTTCTCCTCCCTCCTCCTCCTGCCGTGGTCAGGAGGTACCTTGCGATGCAAAGCTCAGTCACAATGGGGCGTGTATCCGAGGGAGGAAAGCTGTAAGAAACAGTGAGAAAGTGCAAGTTCCCATCCCATCATTTTTGGGATTTTACTTCCCTTTCATGTTATACGCACTATTCTACATTTTTAGCCCCACATAGCCATAGCAACATATCTGTAAAGGTATTTTCAGTTTTTGAAAAAAATCCTCTAGCACACTGCACACTCCATGCGCAAAACAGCTGTTTCTAGCTGCAACACCCTATATACGATGCACCAGGGAGCATAGCCATAGCAATGCCCTGCTCCACCGAAATAGTGTCTTATTTGCCTCTAATAACAACCTAACATACAATGTCCATTCTCGTTTAATAAAGTTTTATAGACTTTTATATATTCTTTTCATCAATGCTAGATTAAAATTCAGTCCCCATCTTCTCCTAACACAATCAATAGTTTTCCATATTCTCAAAGAAGGAAATTTAGAATCTGTTGGGGACAAAAACTGGTTCAAAATGTCACGAGTAGCTTGGAGAGTCCTGCCATTCTACTGTATAGAGGCGTATATTTGAGAAAGAGGCTGAAAATTACCAGATCCATAGTTATTAACATTTTTCAGAAGACTAGTCACACAAAAGGTCAGTCTGAAAATTATGGCATTTTGATGGCTTAGAACCCACCATTCTAATAACATGTTGTACTCCACCTCCACCAAAAGAATGTCCACAAGGTAATATCATTGCATCATCCATAAGAGTTCCACTGTATTTTAAGATGAATGAATCAAAAACAAGAAGTACAAATTCGAAGATGCAACACAAGAAAGTAGAAACATGCTCCAAAAAAAACATAGGTAACATACACGACATCAGCAAATTAAACCTATGTGAACCCTATACTTGCAAAGGAGATGGATGTAAAAATACCAAATTAAATTTCATGTTCTGCATCATCAGATTTAAGCATATGATTAAGAGAATAAAAAAATTAAGGAAATCCTAACAGCAAGTCTGACACAGACTTTTACATGAGGGATCAATTGATGCCAATAGATAATCTCTATAGGTTGGAAGTACATGGTTTTGTAAATAATACGAATTCAAACTTATTTTTATTCATCACTATACAAGTTTATGTGGAATAATAGCTCCAAATTCAAAAGCAATAATTTCTTGGAAAGAGAAGGGGGGAGATGATTACAAAGAAAGTAACATCTATGATTTCTAACAACAGTTGAATGAGAATGGAAATATGGCGCACAATGCCATTCAGTAGAAAACTTTGTTTTACAGACCATTACAGTGCAAAATTGATTCAATCCAAAACTTTGAAACCATTAGCAATAAAAAATAAAAAAGCAAATTATTCAATCATATTCCTCAACAATCATAACATAAAACATAGAGCCTTTAATTAACTGAAAGAGACTTACGTAACAGGATCAGAAAGAATTGCCCTCAATGACTCCCCAGACTCGCTTGAATAAACAGCATCCTTTCTTCCACTAAACCCACAACCATTGTCATCCAACATAACTTTCTGTACAGAAGCAGACCCTTCAGCACCTTGAAGATAATGGGAATAATACTCCTCACAATCAGTTTCAGCAACAGTTGCAGAGTTCTGAGTTTTCCCTAATCTTTCACAATGATCTTCACCAACAGTACCACTGGAATGGTTATGCACCATCTGTACAATCTCACCGTCCTTTCCCAACACCTCTCTACCAGAAACTACAATTCAAACATAACCAAAAAGAAACAACTAACACGGTAAAGTTTACATTCTGAAACTCAAAAGTAACTTGTGGATATTTTTCAAAACTAGTAATAGCAAAAAAATTCTGCTTCGATCGTTCATACCATAAGGGGAATTATACTGGGGTTTTCCGATTACAACACCACCACCGTTGTTATTGTTAACGTCAATAATTGCATTTGAACTCCGGTTGCTCCCATCGCCAACACTGACGAGTGTGTCTACTACAGTGTCACCTTCGTCGCCTTCATCGTCGTCTTCATCGTCTTCTCCGTCCGAATCGTCGCTGCTGGGAGTTCCGGCGCTCCAATTCAGTACATCTGAAGTGTCCCTGTGGTCGGCGCGATCAGCAAAAACGTTACGGCGGAACTCGGCGCCCTGGGAGGTGAAAAAGCGATCGCGATTTACGGTGAACATCTTGTCCTCGATGAAACCACCAGCTTCCCGGGGTTTAAGAACCGGATCTCCGACCTGCCGCGGTGGTGCAGCGTCGCAGTTGAAGCGTAAGGTGTCGTCTTGGAAGACGAGGGGGGGAGTGAGGCCGTTATCGATTCTTTGATCGGGATCGAGATTGATGTCGTCGGAGGACATGGTGGAAACCTCGAAGCTCGAGTTATTGGAATGGTGAAGAGAGAGAATTAGGGTTTGGAGACAGTGTTAGATCTGAAACGGTGACGTTTTACATTGTATTTCATGTGCGCGCGCTATCTTGTGACACTGGTAGCGCCTCTTTGTTTCCCCATGCCGATCGAGCTTCAGAACGACGTCGTATGACAGTTTGGGAACATCATTTCTTCAAAAGAATTCTTAATTGTCTTCCCAAAATTTCTTAATTTGAACAAATTAAAAAATAATAATCTAAAATTATCATATTCATCTCTTCTCTACCCAAGATTTAAGTTAAAAAAATAAGTTTTGTATTGGGGATTCTCTACCTACATTTTAAAAAAATAATAAGTTTATTTGATTTTCTATTTTTTTAGATATAAAAATCTAAAAACTAAAATTAGTTTCAATTTTGAATTATAAAATTTTCAAATCAAAATTTCAGTTTTAAACATAAATATATAAAAATAAATATTTATGATAAATATATCTTAATTCAAATAATTCGAATCAGCAGGTTTGGAAAAAAAAGAAATATTATAAATATATAATAGATTTTTTTAAAGATTTTAATTATAGGGAATAAAAGTGATGGATGCTTGTTAGAGTGGTGATTGTCGATCATCAGAGTGGGGTTAGTGGTTGATTTTACTGGTTGATTAGAATCTGCAAGGTGGTCGGGTGATGATCTACAATCGGGTTGTGATGTCGAGGAGGAAAAAAGAACTGTACCTACAAGACACTATGACGATCAAGTAAGAGTGAGAACAAGAAGATACAAGCAAAGTATTAAGGTATCGGTGGTGAATAATGAATATTTGATACCGGCCCTCACAAGTGTGAGGGTATGTATAATGCCACTAGCGCATGGTCATTGGCTCCTATTTTTGGGCCTGGATATGTGGGTCCACAAAAACAGATAACTGCCAGGACTTGATCAAACCGGAAAGATGTGTCCGTAACTAGCCGTTGGTTCCGAGGAGGATGTGAGTTACGGGCAGCGGTCTGGTCGGTTTCTGGTTGTCTGCACGACTTGAGGTCGGGCAAACTGAGAGGTGTTCGTCGATCACCTTAGGTCAGTGTCGACTTGGGAGGGCAAAGGGTTGATATTGCCTGAAGGAGAGCGAGGGGTGGTTCGGACCATGGACGTATGGACCGTACCGAAAGAAAGGGTTAGACTGGGCTCATTCTAGTTGTCGGGCCAGTCCAGAACAGTAGTCCCCTAAGTCGTTGCTTTTGGGCACAAGAGTGATGACTTTAACACCTGCTCGTGGAGCGGGGCGTATCTTACGGGGAGAATGAGTGTCGCCCGTTGCGCCTTTCTCGCGGGGAGATGGGGAGTTGGTCGTTAGGAGCCTTGAACTTGAAGAGGTAGCGTGTTTCGGGTAATATGTTGGTGAAGCAGCACAATGATGGCCTAGGGGCTAGGGTGTAATAACGACGACCCTAGGGTTTCTCAGGCGCGTGTCTCACACGTACGGGTGGTCCCAGCTATAAATACGAAAGGAGTGGGGAGTTTAGTGTTTTTCGTTCTCTCTCCCAACTTCTCGTAATCGCTCGCCTATCGACCACCGTCGTTTTTTAAAATTTGTTACTCGTTGCTGCTACTTCTGGCCTTCCTTCTTCTTTAACCGGTAAGTTTTCAGTTTTCATTGTCGTTTGCTTTCAGTAGTTCAGGTTTTCATGATTTTCTTTCTAGAAATGCATGCGGCTAGGGTTTAGCATTTTGTCTGTTATGACGCCGTTGGGGAGTGTTGGTGGCAGGCGGTGGTTCTGTAGTTTAGAAATCACTAGAGCCGTCGTGGATCCTCCCCGGGCATTTCATGATGTGCCATAGACGGTCCTTTAGGGCCTAGGGCTCTTTTTCGAACTTCTGCCTGTTTATGCGCCTTAGTGAGGGTTCTAGTCGAGGACATGATCCTCGTTTCCTAGCACCCTTTTCACTTGATTAGCGGTGGAAGGGTGGTTCTGGCATTGATGTCGAACTCATCTTCATCCTCTGCTTTTCAGGTACTATGGTCGACAACGCCTGATCTCTCGAGCGAGTCTTCTAGATCTTCAAGAAGTTCTTCGGACGAGGCGAGTAGCTCGTCGAGCATTCTGGAGATTTCCGGGAACAAACTGAATCAGTCGGAACAACAAATGGGTGGAGGCGACATAGAAATGGCCTTCGTTGATCAAGGTTGCTTATTTCCCCCCGGAGACGAGGAGGATCCGCAGGCTCGGGTCGCGAACGATTCCTGGGATTGGCCCTCTTATTTCTTCGAGCATCGGGATAATTAATTACATAGGTGTACACTCACGAGGAAGGAAACCGGGGAGAGTGGTCGTTATATATTCTCGGGAAAGAGAGCAGGATCTGCTAGAAATACGAAAGAAGGAAGATTCCTATGTACGACATCGTGTTCCGGGAAATGGGTCTTCAGCTCCCCTTCTCGGATTTCGAGGTGGCCGTATTCAGGCATCTATGACTGGCTCCTTCCCAACTTCATCCTAACAGCATCGCGTTCATGCGAGCGTTCGAGATTGTTTGTGATTACTTGAAGATAGGGGCCACCGTTTCCTTGTTCTTCTACTGCTTTCACCTCCAGAGGAGCAATATCGATTGCAAATGGGGATGGGTCGCGTTGAAGCAAGGCAACGGGAAGTTGTCTAAAGCTTATCTGGAGTTTGTTCGTCAGTTCAAGGACAAATATATATTGGTGCAGCCTTCTTCGAGCAAGGCGATGATAAATGTTTTTAGGATCGTACTGGCATATAACGAGGACGGTACTCCCCATTTGAACGAACTAGGAGACCCTATGGAAAAACTAGTTTACAAGTTCTCGTTCTTGTGGACGAGGAATCACTTTGATAGTGAATTGGGTTCCTATGTTTGGAGGGAGGGGGAGCTTGGAGTCGAGGACCTGGAGAGCTTCGACATCTTGACTACTTTCGACATCTTGACTACTTTCTTGACTACTTTCATGGCCCGGGTCTTATAATCGCCAAGGAGCTCCTTGGGAGCGAGGATCCCGTCAAGTATCTGGGTATTTATGTTTTTGAATAGTTGTATGCGTTTGTTGCTTATTCGACCCCTCATTTGCTAACTATGTTTATTTTTGTTTGTTTTGCAGATAACGTGAATCCCGCCCAAGAGCGCATAGCCAAGACTCTTGTTGCTAGAGCGAGGAAAGCTCAGAAGGATTCTCAAACTGGCTCGAGGGTCGCTCCTACTTCGGGGTCGGGCGACTCTTCTTCGGCCCAAGCCACAATCGCTCTCTCTCTCTCTTGCCCCTATATCCTTGAAAGCGAAGAGGTCGCGTGCCAAGGAAAGCATCGAATTGATCAGGGAGAAGGGGAAAGGGACGTACGACATGCCACCTTGCTGGTTGGAGAAGGCTTTCTTCGAGGGTGTGACTCTTCGCCTTCATCGGGCCGAATCTCTTCATCTCGGGGGTTTGGGTCGCCCAGAGAAGAGGGTAATGCTGGCGCAAGATGTTGGTGGTTTAATGTGGATTCTGGAGATGGTTGTCGCCTATACTGAGGGGAGTTCCTCCAAGGAGGCCGAGCTGAAGAAGCTTCAAGCCAAGCTGGCTGCAAGCGAGAAGGCCCGGATCGAGGAAGAAAGGCCCCGGAAGCTGTCCGGGGAAGAATCAGGGAGACTCTTCAATGAACGTAGGGTCTTGTTGCTTGAGAAAAAAGGTCTTGAGGAGAAGGTAGCGGTCTTGACCGCCGAGGTGACGCCTGTTAAAGACGAGCCGGAGGACACGGAAGATTTAAAGACTCAGGTCGAGCTTGTTGCTCGTTTTCAACTAGCGGTGGACGATGCCCAGGCTACCTCCGAGGGGAGTTTTGAAAATGCGGTGAAGCAGATGCACGTGTTGAACCCCGGGTCGAACTCAACACTTCAGGAATAAGGGTCAACTATTACTTGGCTGCTGGTAAGATTCTGGTCCCCGATTATCTCAAAGAGTTCGTTGCTCAGCCCGCTGGGGGTCTTGCCCAGCTATCGCCTATCCCGAAGAAGAGGCTGAAGGATGATTGTCAGTTTTGTTTTATTTATTCTGGCTTGCATGTCGTATTGTTGTAATTTTGTTTCTTCGGGATTTTGCTCGTTTATATAATCTATAAATAAGTGTGGTCTTTGTGGCCACAAATTTATTCTTTTGGAGGCGTTAAAAGTCTTCTTTGTTGTAATATTTGCACAATAGTGGCTCAAGTGGTCGTTTCTTTTAGTTTTCCGGCCATGGTGATTGTTTGCTCCGAATATTTAACTTGTGTTTGCATGTTTATTGATGAACTTGTCTGCTTGGAACATCTTTTATTTTTCCAAGAGTTTGTAGAGGGGATTTGCTCGTTTAGTTCGAATGTTTGTCAGTATGGGGAAACTTATCATATGGCCAGGGTGAATACCGGGCATGGGCCGGAACTCAGGTCTCATTTCGAGACACTTGGGTTCGGCAGCGTGAACTTCCCGTCGCGAGCCAAGCATTCTACTGTCGTGGCACGAGGACTATGGAGCTCGATCGAGTTATCTATGTCGGGTTGATGACGCACTTGTTATAAGAGAGGAGCTTCGCCCCTTCTGAATATTTTGGGTGTTATGCTTGTGCCTAGGCACGCCCTCGTGGTCAGTCCTGGGTGAGTTTATCTTGTCGACCAAACTCGTTGACTGCTCAGTATTTTTAACTATAATATTGTTTTAGCTTTTCAGTGTTCCATGATCGAACGAGTTGTTCCCCTTGTAAGTTTTCCAAGTAATACGCTTCAGTCCCCGTTTTCACGTAGACGCGATAAGGACCTTCCCACTTCGCTGCGAGCTTGCCCCCGCGAGATTCTTTGTGATTTCTCTTTAAGACAAGGTTGTTGACCTTCAACTCTCGTCGTATGACCTTGGCGTTGTAGCGCATGGCTATTTTTTGTCTGAGCAAGGCCTCTCGTAGGGCCGCTCCTGTTCTGATTTCTTCCACTAGATCCAGTTCCTCCCGAAGGGTGATGTCATT